TGCCAATTTGAATATACCACTTACTTTTTACTGTCATTTTCTTTCTTACTGCTCCTTTTTCCAATTGTATACTAAATCGAAATCTGACGGACAGTCGCTTTGGTTGTTCAGTCAGCTGAACGCTAAGGAGAAAATGCTTCAAAAAATGCATAACTTGAAAGTGAACTGACGTGTTTTACCTGTACTGTTGTTATATTATTGTCGTTGACAATGACATAATTATCTATATCAAATTGTTTTCTTTTAAAAAAAAATATAATTTCAAAAATAATTTCTAAGGCAGAAATGCATTATAAAATTTAAAAGAAAATAATTCTTAGATTACCAGACATATTTGGTGAAAATGTCACGTTATATAAGCAAATGCAGGCTGATTTCACTGACCATTAATTTCTGCTTATTTCTTAATTTATTTAATCTTCTTATAGTACTTTTTTTTTTCCTTGTAATGGTATGTGTCAAGCAGAGAGATCAAATATTAATTGTTGATAAAGATGGGGTTCAGCTATCAAAGTTGCTTATCCTTTTCTGTCATTGAGTCAAATACAACAACGAATTTGTTGCGTTTCGAAGGCAAAACGGAAGAAGAAGAAGAAGAAGAAGAAGAAGAAGAAGAAGAAGAAAAAAAAGAAAAGCAATGAAAAAAAAATAAGTAAAGAAGAAGCGAAAGTAAAATTAGGAGTTATTTGGAAGGAAAGTGGAAAGAGGTGAAGTGAAGGAAGTTTATGAGATAGATTTAGGGTAAGGGGAAGAGGAGAAGAAGGAGAAGAGGAAGAAAGCAGTAAGGAGCAAAGTTTTTTCCTTCATTTTAGGTTTAAGATTTTGAAAGAAAAAATTAATGCAGTTAGTGGGTAAGTTTTTAATTTCTCCCTACTTTTTTTTTTTTCCATTAGTCTTCCCAGCAACTATTCTTTCGTCTTTTACTTTTGCTTTAGCTTAATTTTTCACAGTGAATATCAATGAATTGCGCAAAGGAAGAAAAAAAAAAAAAAGAGAAATTGAAATAACAATTGTATCTGACGACTGTTGTTGAACTTCTTTTTCTTTGCTTTGCATCTGCTTTAACCATTTACCAATTCTTCTTCTCTATCCCCTTTTCCGGTTTTTCCCTTCCCACCTTTCTCCTCTAAAATAAAAAAAAAATTTTTTTTTTTACTCATTATGCAAACAAATATTTAGGCTAACAATAAGAAGAAAGTTTGACAAGAACTTTGAAATTTAATCATATAATATGATGAAACAAAGATGAAAAAAGAGAAAGAAGAAAGGAATTTAAACTGGGATAAAAGAAAAGCAGGAGAAAAAAAGTTACTGAATAATACATCAATTTCTTTGGCTGTTTGTCCAAATCATTGGAAGCATCAGCAACAATGACGACAAAAATTGATAGAAAAAAAAAAAAAAAACAAAAAAAGAACATTTGTTTGTTTTTGGCATCAAATAATAGACGGTGTTTTTTTACTTAATTTATTTATTTGGTTCGTAAAAAAAAAAAATTTATTTGGTTATTTAGCAGATTGTTTTGAAATTTGAAAAAAAAAAAAAATCAACTGAAGAATACGCGCGGTAATGAAGTTTTTTCGAGTGTGCTTTGTTCTTTTTTTTTTTTTCGTTTTTCTTACTGTGGATATTAATACAGAATAACAACTGTCCAACTGTATTTTCAGAGTTCTCGTTCTGTTGTTGTTTTTCGTAAATTTATTGCTGGTTACTGCTGTTTTATTGGCAGTACTATTATTTTGTTATGGTGCCTTCGTGAAGATGGTGAATAGTTGCTCATTGTTAATGCTGATGGTGATGTTGCTTAATGGCTGACTTGCTGACTAATTGACTAATTGACTAACTGACTGGCTAACTGACTGACTGACTGACTGATGGAGCAACGAACAGATGGACGGAAGTACGTACAGACGGATTTCCGGTAAATTCATTTTTCATTCTTTCTTCACCATTAGCGTAGAAAAATTCCTCATTCCTCCCTTCCCTTGTTTCCCTCTTTTCTCACCGTCTATCTTTCTCTCTATTCCATTTCTTTCCAAAAAAAACTACAACAATTAAGTAACGTAAATTAGCGTATGCGTTTTTGTGTATAATTCTCAGAAACAGTCTTGTTGCCGTAATGGTTTATTCCTTAAATGACAAAGAGTGAATGAGGGTTGAAAATAGAAAGAAGACTGCTTTTTGAACTTTCCTTTCATCTCTTCTTCTGCTCGCCTTTTCAACTTTTGCATCGCAAATACATTTGTATGACATTTTTTCAGATTGGTTGGACGGGCAAATAGAGAAAAAAAAATTTTTTTTTGTGTTCGACATAAAGAAAAATCGCGCAAAACGGGGTTGGTTGGGTTTAGGAGGAAAAAAACGGTAAAAAAACAGCAAGAAGTCTTAGAGCTGCTAAAAAAGCAGTAATAAGAACAACGACAGCAGCGTGCAAAAATATCTAGAAAAAAAAATGCTGAAAAACCTGGAGGAGAAAAACCTAGAAGATCATTTTTCAGTTACATCCTTTAGTCCACCAAACGTATTACAATCAGCCTTCTATTTTTCTGAGAACCATGACAGTGTTGACTAGGTTTGGTTTTGTTTCCCAGATTTTTCTCATCCCGTTTATCGCTCCACCTCTGGTACCAACTAGTCTCTTATCGTTTTGAGTTTCGAATTTTGTAGAAAAGTGAGCTACTATGAAAGTATGATTTTGTAAATATCTGTGCCAACGTACGGGCTTAATCTCCGTTCGTCGGTTAATCCTGCAGAAACTCCATCCACTTTTTCGTTCTGTTCACACAGTGCTGTGCAACTTACGGTTTCTTCTAAAACGATTTGGTCATGTTTCGTTTGTCATATCAGTGGTTCTTTGATTTTCTTTCTGCTGTTTCATTTATGAAAAGTTGGGGCCAGTTAGTTATTCGGTTGTCAATGGTAGGGAACAGATGCAGGAAGGGGGAAGCGTCCGTTGTTAGGTTATGTGTGAAAATTTGTTCTGTTTGTGGGCCGCTGGCTGGTTTTAGTCATTGGAAAAGTTCAAGCAGTGTAAAAAATTTGGGCAGTCAAATTGCCGTGGTATTTCAGTGGAACGAAAAGATTGACTATTTTCATATGAAAACTGAAAAAAAAACTTTGTTTTTGTCATTTTACAGAAGAGGAAATTGAGAAAAAAGCATAGAATTTGAAGGGCATCAAAGTGTTTAAAGTGCAACAAAACTTCGGGAAGGGGAAAAAAGGGACAA